AGTCTTGATCGGTCTCAGAATCTCCATCATCATGATTAAGTCGGCTTAATTTTGACTCTGGAGATTCGAACACCACCCCACGAGACTCTGGGCGCAAGGTTCTTTGAAGCATGTTTGTTATGCCATTTGTGGAAGTCTGAATATTAGAATTGGTCATCATGTAGTGCTTGACCGACTCTGGAATCACCACCTCTTTGGGCTTTTTCCTGCAAGGGTTTAGAAGAGAAGAAAAATAAGGCAGACAGTTGCCTACAATGGGCACCAGTGAGATGGGACACAGGGCTGACACAAAGTCCTCCAGCTCCTGGTAGGAAGAATGGTCAGAGTAAGGCACCACATAGACATTAGTGTGACAGGAGACCATGGGGCGGCTGGTGGGCAGTATAGCGATGGTAGGCTGCACTTTATTCCACGCCAGCAGGTTGGAGGCGTTGATCATAGACTGAGCGACCACACGAATGCGGCCCGCGCCAGAGTCAGTGGTGAAAACGTCTGGGAGCTCCAGAACACGCAAAGTTTCCAGACGCTCTCTATCCACCTCCACCCATGTTTTAAACTCCATAGCCAGCTCCACCAGCAGAGACTCTTTACCCAGAGAGTAAAGACCTAATAACAGGTAACAGACTCATTAATAATTATTGCAATGGAGATTTTGTTGCTTCACATTGTTTGCAGCAGTGTAGACATGGTGTTTTGCTCACCATGGTAATTCAAGTAATGGCAAAGAATTGGCAAAATGGCAAACAGAATTTTCAGCAGCCATTACTTCAGTCTTCATTGTCACATGATCCTTCAGAAATGATTTTAATATGCTGACTTGGTGCTCAAGAAACATTTCTTATTGTCAATGTAGAAACAGTTGTTCTGCTTAATTTTTTTGTGGAAAATGTGAAAATGAGTCTACTCTGAACATAAAACACATTAAATCCTATTACATGAAATTTTAATAAAATGTTGAAAGTGTGAGAGTCTCACCAATAACCACAGTGTATCCAGGATGAGTCCTAATGATCTCTTTAATTTGCTGAGTGGCTTGTTGACGAGAAGGTACGGCTCGAGTGGGGTCACAGTTTGTGTTGTCCAGATACAGCACATCAATGGTAGTGGTGTTTCTCAGACATTGCTCTCTAAGCATAGATGGAGTATAACGGAAATCACCTGAGATAAAACACAATAACAGTATAATTCAAATGTAATCTCAGTATGTGACAGTGAGATCCAACAACGTTCTGTCTCAAGAAAAACTATTAGTTTATTGCACATTTCCATAATATTCATTTCCTCCTCCCAAACTTACCAGTGTACAGTCTGGTGCCAAAGTATCCCTCAAAGAGAAACATAACTGCCCCAGGACAGTGATTGGCATCTATTAGAGTAACGGTCAGTCGTTCTTTTCCAAGATCATCAAGCAACAGCATGTGAGTTTCCCCGATCTCCAATGGACGAATCCATTTCTCCTTGACCTGTGGAACACAACAACAGGACACAATTTGTAATTCCTCCAAGTTTGAGTCATTTAGCGGACAGATGTGTG